TGAGGACTGAACACATGCCATGCCTTCCCATGCACTACATGCCAGCAACTAAGAAAATACATGCGTGAGCGCGCGCGCGCACACACACACACACACACACACACACACACACTCCTGAGTGTTTACTGGGAGTCTAGGTAAATGAAATAATTATTTTCCAAGTACAGCATCCCTCAGAAGCAACCAGTCCTTAGAATCTCTAAACATCTACTTTTAAACTACAAAAGCTTTTCGCGGAAAATTAGCCAGATATGTCAGAGCTGAAACCATTATTACAAAAGTTTAAACTATTTTAAGGAAAGGAGTAGAGTTGGAAGAAATGTTATTTAGAGAAGATGGTGGTTATACTTAGTAATGGTAAAATTAAGTAGCGATTGATTGATAAGAAAGATCAGTGAGTAAAATACGAAATTGACCTTAGGTATTGGGTTCTTTTCAGTCTTGCTTTAGATCATAACCTATTAGATAGGTCATTTATTTACTACTGAGCAATTTTCATAAAGAAAAATTTAGATACTTTCCATTCATAGGCAGAACCTCTCAGAGAGAGCTGCTGCTGCAAAACCCTTGAGCACACTTTATCACATGTCCCCAAACTATGGCTTTCAAGGTTCATTTTCCTAGGGAAGGTCTTAATGCTGAAGGATTGGGTATGGCCTTGGGCACCTTTCTTGCATTTCCGAAGGCCCTTGCTTGCTGATCACTGGCTCCCCCTAGTCTGGCCTCCCCTGAAGCATCCTGAGTCAGCGACACTCCCTCAGGCCAGGCCAGCTAAGTGTAAGGTTCTGTGGTATCTCGTTTTGCTCAGTCACCTGAAGAGAATCTTATATATAAAAGGAGGCTATTAAGATATAGACAGAGAAGAAGCAAATTACCATTTCTGGGGGGAAACAAAGATGAAAACAGTATTCCTCCCTTTTTCTGCTGTGTTTTGATATTTCTAAAATCCAGGAAGGAAGGCTCAGGCAGGGAGCAGAGGGACTGGAGTGGAAACTGCTCTTCACAGTGCAGAGTGGGGCTGAGTGAACAAAGTAATGATGACGCTGTGTGTATTACGTTGGATCTGAGAGAATGTCTACTCGTATGATGACAGTACAGGAAAGTCACACCCAACCAGATCCAGGTGAGATGAGAAAGAGATCGGAGAGGTGGTACCCTATGATCTGAATCCTCAGGGAGCAAGAATCCTCAAGGATATCCTTGATAGAATAAGGGGGAGGAGCAATGCAGCCTAAGGAGTTGCGGGGGAGTTGAAAAGCACAGGTGTAAATCGATTGGCAAAACACATCTCAACATAGTCAGAAATCTGAGATAGGAAGATGACCTCGGCAGAGTAATCAGCATGAGGAGAAAGCACTTTTTCTAGGACATTAAGAGAGGGGTAACTTGTGAGGGTTACCCCTGCCCCAGTCTTCCTGAGACCCCTGTGAGGAAGCCAGCCTGAGAGAAAGATAGACACCTGGACTAGCATGGACCTTTACATCCTTGACGGCTCTGCCAACAAGGGAGCCAGCCCCACCTCAGGCTTCTCATTAGGTAAGGGAGTGAACGTCTTTAAGGGGAAACTAGTTTCAGATGGTCTTCTATTGCATGTAGCCAAATACATCTTGGTCAGTGCAGGCAGGATGGAGGAGTCATGAAGATTCTGTAGAGCAGTAAATTGCAGAAGACACCAGTACTCAGAGACAGTTCATTCATTCACTCATTCACTCCATTCATTCACTCATTGGACAAAGACTTCCTGAGGGCTTACTATGTTTTTGACACTGTTGTAGGAGCTGGGACTTCAACAGTGAACAAAACAGACAAAGGTCCTGATTTTCTAGAATTATATTCTATCAGGGACAAGATAATAAACACAGTAAATGAGTGAATTTGAAAGTCTGTTAGAAAGTGTTGAGAGCTATAGAAGGAAATAAAACTGAGGAGAGGGTTAGGGAACGTGGAAAAGGGATTAACCTCCAATAGAGTGGTCACTAAAGTGTTTGTGTTATTTTACATTGGGTACTTATCTTAAAACAGACCTCGTATAAGGAGCTTTAAAAGAACTTTTTCATGTAATCCCTACCTCAACTCCAATGGGTACTTATCATTCCATCTCATAGATAAGAAAACCGAGGTTCAGAGGTGAGAGAACTTAACTGAGGTCCTGTGACTGATGGGTGGCAAAGTGTGGCCTGTGATTAGCCTCTATTATCCACACAGGTTTTCTGGCCTGGAGTCAAGGATTCAGGAAATTACAGGGTTGATGGCTGGATCCCCTTCAATGAAGAAGGACTAGAAATTCTGACACACATCCCATAATATTCCAGAGAGGGTTAGTGTCCACCACTCTGACATGGGAGAGACTGTGTGGATGCTGAGGCTAGGAGAGCCCTGCCAGAGGGAGCCATCTGGTCATCTCAGACAAGGGAGCCCTCAGGTTTCTATTCAATTCCTATTCAGACCAGTTCCTTAGTAAATCAATGACCAAAGTTTCATTGGGAAGACATGGGATATATTCATTTATTTGACAAAAATAGTAGATAGCACTTGCTATGTTCCAAGTTCTTTCTTAAGAGCTTTACAAATACAAATTTATTTTAACTCGTATAATAACACTGTGAGGCCAGTACTGCTATTGTTGTCACAGATGAAGAAACTGAGGCCTAGAGAGATTCGATAACATGCTCCATGTCCCACAGCCAGTCAGTTGCAGTGCCAAGATTCGCACTATGAATCCCAAGTATGGATGCTTCATTTGGCATGCTGCCATGGGAATTTTAATCCTAGAAGGAAGACCAAAACTGACTTTATGGGGTGTTACCATGTTTCAAGGACTGCAGCAAGCACTTTAGATGCATTCATAAACTTTGGTTAAGTTTATGGACTAATCTGGAGAAGATCCGACATAGTTAACGTATTGAGTTTCACCATTCAGAACACTGTACAGATCTTCATTGATCCAATGCTTGAGTATGTCCTCAGCAAAGTACTACACTGTCTTTCCTGCTGCGGGCCCTGTACTATATAATTCTATTTCTGGTTTTTCTCACAGCATCCTCAGGAAGCAGGTGTTATAACAAGTGCCATATTATAAATGAAGGCACCGAGGCTCAGCGATATAAACTGATTTGTCATAGGGCATGCCTGGAAATGGTGAGTGGCGGAGCCAAGACATAGCGGAGACTGATATGGCTGTTTCTGATATTTGTGATGTTTATTCAAAGCTACATGACATGGCTCCTGGAGGTGCAGAGTCCAGGCATGATGATGATAATGACACCGATGACGATGATGACAATATCAATCATAATCAATCATGATCACAGTAGCAATCATAACTGCTAACTCACACAATCAGTGAGCACCAGGCTCTGATCTAAGCCTCGTCATACATTAATCTATTTGCCCTGTGAATAGATACTATAGTACCCCATTCTACCAATAAGGAAACTGAGGCACAGAGACGCTAGGTAACTTGCCCAGGGTCACAGAGGTCATGAGCACAAAGCTGGGATTTGTCACCAGGCAGTCTGGCTCCAGAGCCTGGGCTCCTGAGTGTGACACTAAGGAGGAAACAGTCCAGAGCTCAGTGTGGGGCAAGCAGCCTTGGAGAAAGTGAGCTGCAGAGATGAAGGGATGTGAATGGGAAGATTTACTCCTTGGAAAATAGGGGCCAGTGGGAGTGATTAACATAGTGATTCCAAGACTTTGGCATTTCATGAGCTAATAAAAAATTAAAACCTGGGTAAGCCGCACACTTATTTGGTCAATTAAGGACATTTATTCAGACATCATGTATCATCTACTCTCATCGATATTTCATAAAAGAAAGGACTTTTTAAAACGAAAGAAGGAAGAGGACATCTTCTCAAAATCTAAACTGAGACTCACTGCACTGGCTGAATTGTCCTTCATTGCCAAGGACAGAGATGCTGGGAGAATGACATGAGTGGAGCGTGCACACTGCCCAGAGCAGCCCTGACACGTGGTCAGTGCTCATGGAATGGTGGTCGATTCTCTTTATAGTGACCCACAAGAAAAGGGGAAAAGAAAGGGCTTTCTTGGGCTGTCCATCAGTGCCATTTGACGATGTGTCTGTGCATCCTCTAACAATCATCTCCAGTACCAGTGGAGGACCTTGGCCCATGTTTAAGAAATAAGAGATGACCTTGTTGGCACCTGGGAACAACTGAGCTTTTTAACCTTTAACTGAAACTGTGGTTTTTCCTCCAAAAGATACCAGGTAACAGTGATGGCAAATGCCTGTCTGACTCACCCTCCTCCTTGGAGACTAGCTCATCACTGAGGGCCTCTGCTGTGGGGACTGTGGGGAACCCCTGACCCAGCCAAGCTGGGCCGGACATCTTCCCTCTTGTCGAATTCTTGGGTAAGGGTCTCTAGCCTGTGATGGCATTGGGGTGAGAAGTCAACGAAAATACAGTCCTGGGTGGCCATTTCCTGCCTCAAGGCTGCCCGTGAAAGAAAGTCCAACTGCAAGAGAGATTGAGAGTAAAGATGGAAAATTTGCAGAGAAAAGTAGAGACAAGGAATCTGTGGGCCTCAGACAGTGAGAACCAGGCCGGCCAATTCCTGTCTACCACAAATTCACTGCAGCAGAAAGACCAATCAGCAGAGACTGGCATGAGCAGACACAAAGAGAGAAGCGATGACAAGAGACCCATGGCCAGGACATAGTGTGGGTCCTTTCAGTTCTTGATTTCAATCTCTCACAGGGCCTAGCTGGACATTCTGCCCTTGGCTTCTGCAATATATCCCCGTTCCCTTCCAATAAATTCTCCCTTTGTTCCACATCATATTGACAGGGACTCTGATTCTAGCCCCACCAATTTCTGGTGGAGACACAAGGAGATCAGGCAGGATGTGAGACCAAAACAAGGCAGGGGAGGGGAGGGAGGGCAGGCCTCTCCATGTCTTCTGGGCTAGCCAGGCCTAGAGAGCAAGGGTAGATTAGAGGACACTGCAGGCTCCCTAAGGGGGCATGAGTGAAGACCTACCCAGTGAGAGCAGGCTGTCTAGGTCTGCAGCATCACCTCCTGGTACAGGGTCCTTTAGGCTCCGTCCTCTGAGCCAGGACCTCCAACTGAAGGTCAGGCCACATCCTCAAAGGTCACCGATTCCTAGAAAGTCAAAGAGAGGCAGGGATGTTGGTCTTATGGCCATAGGATGGGATTAGAGTCTGTCACTAAGTAACTGGAAAAGATCCAGGGGGACCCAAAGTCTGAATCACTGTGCTCCTCCCGAGGGCCTAGCTCTGTGATGGGCTCAGCGGGGGTAGACAGACGCTGCTTTTGCACAGAATGCAATTGTGTCAGAGTGAAAAGTCTTCGACGGGTGAAGAAGCCATTGGAGAATGACACAAGACAATAACAAGTCCTCGTGTCGTAAGAGGAGCAGACAGTAAGCACTGGAGGACATCAGAGGAAAGAGGACATAATTTTAACAATAATCCCAACACCAACAATGGTTCACAGCAGCAGCTGCCGAGTCTTAGTGGTCCTTACCGGGAGCCTGGCTCCATGTTGAGCACTTCACATGCCATATTAAAGTGATGAAATGTCCCCAGCACTGGAGTCAGACCCCTAGGGTTGAATCCCACTCCTCGAATCTGACATTTGCTAGCTGTGTGACCTTGGGGATGTCACTTCTTTTCCTTGAGCACCGATTTCTGTATCAATATACTAATAGTTCCCACTTCACCAGGCTGTTGTGACAATGAAAGAGAAAATGCTCACAGGGCAAACACTGGAATGCTGGGCACATGTCTGTGTTTTTGCATCTTGGACTAAATCTTCCCACAGCTCATGAGGTTAACACTGTTATCATCTCCTTCACACGGTCAGCCCACTAAGGCTCAGGGAGAGTCAACCGAATGTCAAACAGTCACATGTCTAATAAGCAGAGATCTGAACCCAAGTCCCAGTCCATGTCTCCTCCACTCACCAGTGATGGTGAAATGAACATCTAGCAAATGATCTCACAATCTTGCCCTTGGGGACTATCTCAGCAGATAGAGGAGGCCCTCAGCAACCAAACAGGCCCTTGCAGGCCTTCTTGAACAATGTATATCCCTACCTTTGTGCATGTGGTTCCCTCTGCCTGGAATGCCCCCAAGCCCTCCTCATCCCTAAACCTAATCTCATTCTGCAAAGTTGACTTCAGGTGTCACCCCCGGCATCCCCCGTCCACTGTATTGTCATGGTTAAGAGTGGAGGCTCTGGTGGTTGACATACTGACTTTGAGTTTCTACGACTTAAGAGCTGTGTGACCTTGGGCAGGTAACTTCTCTGAGCCTCAAGTTCCTCTTCTATAAAGTAGGGACAATAATAGAATCTCAAGAGGTGAGAGTTAGACAAGATGATGCATATTAACTGCCCCGCTGTACATATCAAGGGCTCGATGAAGGCCAACTCTTAAATATTGTTTGGTTAGTAGTATTTTTCCCATTCGCTCCCTCAGCAACCTGGAAAAGCTCAACCCAGCCTGCATCTTTGCTTCTGTAATTGTGCCAAATTCCCTGCACAAAAATGCCAACATGAGGGCAGGCAGGGACAGGGGCTATTTTAGCTGAAACTGCCAGGAAAGTCCTCTTCAAAGGAGTAGCATTTTAGCAGAGCCTGGAAGGATGTGAAAGGGTGGCCAAGGGGAGATCTGGCGAAGGTGTCTCAGTCAAAGGGAACTCCACGGGTGAAGGCTGGGAAGTGGGAAGAGCTGGGCATACTCAGGTTGGCACAGCTGGATGGCAGTGAGCAAGGGAAGAAGAGAAGGAGACAAGGTCAGAGATGGTCCCCAGAATGGGGCCTTTCAAGGCCTCACAGGGAGTTTGGACTTATTCTCAGGGTGATGCCAGGCCCTGAAGAGGAGCATCATACACCCGTTTACTGGGCCCATGTTAGAGACCAGCAGTGCTCTAAGGCCTGGGGTTAGAGCATGAGGGGAGCTCAAACTCCAGGGTTGGAGACAGATCATCCCTAAGAAAGTTTAGAACTGACCAAGAGAATCCCGAAGGTAAGAAAATAAGATTGAGGAGACAGGAGAGATGAGGGGCAACTTTCTGTGGGGTGACCAAAGAAGGCTTCTCAGAAGAGGGGACACTGAGAGATCCTGGAATGAGGTGAGAGATCGAGCCATGTGGACAACAAAGGAAAAACTAAGGCAAGTTCTGACAATAATCAGGGCTATGGTGAGAATAAAGAAGATGGCTGCCAGAGAGTTAACTGGGCCTGGCACATGTCTACAGCCAAATGGACATGACACCTGGGTTCAAATTAAAGTTCTGCCTGTGCTGCGAGAACCTGCACAAGGACCCAACCTCTCTGTGCCTCAATGTCGTCATTTTTCAAATAGGTATAATATTGGTATCCATCTCATAGGGGTGTTGTTGGTATCAAATGCTTTACTAGAGGGATCCCCAACTCCCAGGCTGCAGACCAGTACCGGTCCGTGGCCTGTGAAGGAACCAGGCCACACAGCAGGGGGTGAGAGGCAATTGAGAAAGCGAAGCTTCATCCATATTCGCAGCTGCTCCCCAGCACTAGCATCACCACCTCAGCTCCACTTCAGATCATCAGGCATTAGATTCTCATAGGAGCACCGGTCCCTGGTGCCAAAAAGGTTGGGGACCACTGCTGTAGAACACGTCAAGTGCTGAGAATCAGCTTTTACTATTCACGAGGTTAAAACTTTGGTAAATACTTTTGGTACAAATAAGGTGAGGAACTTTTGAAAAATGTGGGTGGCTTTCCTACTCTTTAAGCATTTAAGAGAATGTGACATTTAAGACTTTTGATTCGAATCAAATGTTTCAAAATATCGTAACTTTGCAAACAATTAGTAAGAATTTGCAGAAATTTATCTAGTTAATTTCCTAAGTTTTAAATTTTCATTGTGGTTTTATTTAGAGATATGGTTCAAGAAGCAATTATTTCATAAATAAATCAATAAATTCTGAGGCGGGCCTGAGCAGGCTAGTGGGATGCTAGGTCTTTCAGCAATGCAGCCTGGCTTCTGCATGCTCCCCTGAAGAACCTGCTCAGGGAACCTTCCAGTGGAACACTGGATCATCTCCCTCTGCCAAGGGGCTCAAAGAGCCAGAGGTGCTGATATACTCTTGCTCTGGTCTGGCCTGGGTTGCTCTACTGGCCTAGCTAACTTTCTCTTGCTCATAGGGAGCAGACACAGGTCCTGCTGAGCCCACAGGGCAGTGAACATACACCATTCCACAGCTCGGTCTCTATTCCTGTCTGGCTCCTTCCCCACCATACGACTTCCTTCTGTCAGCTAACAGCCAGAACCCACTGGCACTAAAGGTCCCCTCCGCACTGGTGGCAGCCTCAGGGATGCCTATCCCATGTGTCTATCCTCCAGCCCTTCCCTCTTCCACTTCAGACCCATGTGAAATGACATTAAGACTCCCTCTCCTAAATCTGATCCCCAGGCTATGCCCTGGTCCAGGTCTAAAGCCCCCCTGGACCTCCCCAGTGTAGACCCCTCCTAAAGCTGCAGCCTTGCTTGTCCAGCTGTCTCTCTCTCTATCTCTCACATACACACACATGCTTCTGGAATCTCAGAATCACCAAGTCCAAAATCCAACCTCTAACCTTCCACCCACAACCTGCTTACTCCATGCAAGTTCTCCATCTCCATTCTTCCAGATGCTCAGCAAAATTTTTCAAAAGAAAAGAAACAAACGGAAAAAAAAATTCAGGATGGGCTTTCATTCCCTACTTTCGGTTCAAGCATCTGATGCAGCAGGAAACCCTGAGGGCTCTATCCTTAGGCTCCTGAGGAATAGGATTACCTTGGCCTCCTCTACTGCCACGACTCTGGTCTGGATCCCATCATAACTCTCCTGGAGTCTACTGCAGCAGCTTCCTCCTTGCTCTCCCCACATCCACCTACATCGCAGCTCCCTCCAGGCCCTAATCTTCCATAAGCAACCTTTGGGAAACTTTGAAAATGACCCAGAGTGTGTCCCTTTTCTGTTCACGATGCCTCATGGCTTGGAGCGCCCTAGGAGTGAAGGCCCAGCTGTTCAGGTTGCCATTCCAGGTGTGACTCCTCCCACCATGCTCTTATTCCTTGCAGCCGCCGCACGCATCCTGGGGTTCCCCCGAGCTTTCCCAAATGCTCCTGATTCAGGAGTGCATCTAGGCCTTAGCACAAACCGGTCCCTCTGCCTGCAAATATCTCATATCTCTCACTGGCTGTCAGATATGGGGATCCCACTCACGAGCACCCCACTGTCCTGGCCACAGCGGCCTGGGTTCAGTGATCTGAGCAGGAGCCCTCATTCGGGGCTTTGAAATTCGGGTCGGGTGACGACCTGGGAATGGCAGCACCCACCTGCGCCAGGTCCAACAGCGCAGCCGCCGCCATCGGAGCCTGCAGGCGGAGTGTGGCCGAGAGCAGCGGGCGACAGGGCGGGAATCCGGGATCCGTCGTCCCCAGCCCAGCCCCAGCGATGGGTGACACTGGGCGGCGACACTGCCCAGCCTCAGACCTGCCCCTGTGCAGGGGGGAAACGCTTTCTCTCCCGTCACCTCGTATATGACATAGTGCTCCGGAGCCTCTCATCCGGTGGCCCAAGCCCAGGACAGATGAAATAGCCGCCGCGAGAACATGGCCAAAGTCCCGCCCCAAAGTGGCGCGGAAAGCACGGAAACATCCCTCTCCCGGTTTTCCATTGGCTCACGGTGGAGAGCCTTCTGGGTAGTGTAGTTCCGCAACCCAGGCAAAGTGCAAGGACCTGGGAGCGAATAAACGTAGTCTCATTCAATACATACGGATATCCTAAGGCTTTAGAGTCAGTTTTGTGAATATCATTATTTCCAGTCGGGGACAAAAGACTTCAGACAGGACCACAGTGGCGATGGTGGAGGAAGCATGCCAAGTGGTCCTGAAGCAGGTAAACAGCGGGCTCCTCGCTCTGGTTCTTTCAGAAGAAAATAAAAGAAAGAAAGAAGAAAAATAAAATAAAAGGAAAAAGAAAGAGAAAGAAATCTCTCCTGCCTGTATAGCTAGAGATTGTATTCCAAACCAGCAAGCAATACTGTTTTACCCAGATATTTCTTTTTCCATATCCTGAGATATATTCAGTACCTTTTAGGAATGTGAGACCTAGCTGGGAAAAAAAGTGACTTTACCAAGTGTCATTTCCTGTGGGGATAGTGGCTGCAGTGGTCACAGCACATGTGGACAGTGACCGTCTGAACCTGGGTAAAAGTTTGGGACACCATGATCTCATCTTCTTGCTGGGAAGAGATTATCATTTCACCTGAAATTTCAGTGACAGTGTCTACACAGGGAGTTGAGATTATGTCAGAAAAACGGCTGTGAAATATCTACTTAATTAAAGCTTCTAATAATGATTATGTAGTTATTGTAAGTTAATGGCAGAAAGAGTACTGGGTAAACTTGTCTCTGACATACGAAAAAAATTGGGACCACATTGACATTTGACCAGAGAACACAGAAGTCTGAGAAGCTGAGGACATGGTTACACTGGAAACTTGGCCATCCCAAGGCTTTGACTTTCTAAAATATATTTTTATCATCCTTGACAACACTGAGAAATACCAATTTGAAGAGAGGCAAAGTGGAAATTCAGAAAAAGGTTTTTTAGAATGGTAATGACCAAGTGCTCACACAATTACTCATCAGTAACCCATCGGTTTAACCAACTATTAGATGGCTTCTCTCCTCTCAACACACCCCTAAATTGTGGCTCACTCTCAAGCTTAAACAAGCACTAAGGTGCCGGTCATTCCTGGCTGTCCAGAAGATAAATGTTTCCGGTCAAACCACCCCAATCATGCTGTCTACTCAGCCTCACAGCTCTCCCACTCCCACTCCCCAGCAAAGTTCTTGCTAGCCCTACCTATACCTCCCTATTACAAAAGCCTTTTTCTGTTTGATGATGAGAAAACCCATGGATCTTGTGGTCAGAGTGTCCTCACTATTGCAGTAGTCTGTTTGAATGAAGTCTTTACCTAAGTCTGCGTTTATTTTATTTGACAGTTTTACAATGCCATGACTGCACTCAAGATTGGACTTCACTCATGGAACCCAGTCATCCCTGCACAGTTAATTAATGGCACCTTGCAAATCCTTTGAACTCCTCTCTTGAATTCAGGAATCCTTTGGTGAATTCACTTCTCGAAACAGCGCTCTGAGCATTATGTCTGTTTCAGCACGGTAAGAAGAGACTTTGGGTCTTCTGAGCAAAGAAATTTTTCTTTGGCATTTTGCATGAAGAATCATTCCCTGGGTCTTGAGCAGGAAACTTCTCTACTCTTCTGTGTGAGGACACTTCTGTCTTTCCTTGCCTTTTCTACTGAGAATTGGGGGAAGGAATTCCATTGGCCCTTCAGACAAGATGGTGACAGTGCCAGGGAGTGATCTAATATGACTCTTTCCTAGCTCCTTTAAAGACTTCTCTCTGATTTACTTAGCTAATCCATGGGTAACTCTCACTCTATTGGGTGCCCTCCCTCTTCTTTGCTTGCTGACTGTATGCTCTACCATTATGGCATTCATTCAGTTCAATGTCTTAAAAATGGCAAAATTTTACTAAAGGCAATTTAGAACTTCAATGGCCTCTTTGGAAAGTAGGGGATCTCCCCATACTATGTCATTAGTCACCTATTCCTTCCCATCTCTACACCCTCCATCTTTCTTATTCCTTTTCAAGACCTTCAGACTGCTTCAGCTCCCTTGTTTCTTTTGATCTGTCTGATCCCCTTCAACACTCCTCTATCCCTCTGTCCACCCCTGCCAAACCTTTTCCATCACACTTCGGCCCTTCAACGTTCTATAGTCACTTAAAATCTAGGCCCCTTCTTTGTTAGGGGCTCTTGAAGAGCTCAGGGACCCCAAGAGCAAATACCTAATGCTGAAAAGCTATTTGGAAACAGGCTGGATGATTTATAGACTCTGAGGAGCTTTAGAGACACCCAGATGGTCACTTGGTCTATTCTCAGTCCCTCATCCACAATTCAGTCCACGGCATCCATAAGATGATATATTAAGACAAAGAAAATCTTAAGGATCTCTTCCACTAATCTTGTTGGGGACACTTCGGCTCTCATATTGAGTAGGTAATCTCAACTTGTCCCATCTACCAGAAACACAATTCTGAGTTTTTTTTAAAAAAATGTAAAGGTGGTCAAGGGCAAGAGCCATCTCTTTTACATAAACCAATGAGTTAGAACTTTAAAATTAAAGCTATCCTCTTTTTGTGCCTGAATGTGTATTCATGTATGTATATTATGTATGTCATTTTCCTACCCACTGATAGTATTACCATATTAGACTATAAAATACCTTAAAGGAACTCTATTCTGATTGGCTTAGAGATGAATAAGTACTTCTATAAATTAAATATTCCTAAAATTCTCAAATGTTAAGGAAATTTAACATCTAAGACTTTCAAAAATATTCTTAAAGAAACTAACCCAAATATTTTAAAAGCTCAAGTTCACATAATTTAAGTAAATCTTGGCAAACATAACTAGTTTAATAAAAATCAGCTATGTCTCCTCAGTTACCAAGTTTAGATAAAGTATAAGCATACATTTTTGTTCTATTTGAGATTTTCTTCCTGAACTTATATAGGTTACTGATTGAATAGAGTACATCTATTAAATATGTAAGATTATTTTAAAATGTAAATTTATGTTTAACCATATTAAATCATTATCTTGACAAACTTTATTTAAACACTAATCATGTTTTACAATATGTCAGCTTGAAAACAGTTTTTAAGATCTTTTGGTAAGTTAAAACCTTTAGACTTATGATAAATTAATTAATGAATATTATTAAATAACTAGGTCATTTTTAAATAAGATAGAATACTGAAATATTAATTACTAAGCATACTTTTAAGGCTGTATATATGTGTATCTATTAATGAATATATTCATTTTGCCTCACTGAAAAGTTGTACTATAAGGGATAGTTGTGGCTAGAAAAAATTGTGAGATGTGTATTCATAAGCTCTGGTAGTCTGCTACAAAATATTGTATGACAGATAGTTCACAATTATCCACCTCCCAGTTTCACCAAAATATAAATTCCCGTGAATGAATGCTATAATCGACTTATGTGAATAACTACTAGGAGCATTCATAGCACATAAGAACAACATTGAATGTAAAGTATAGAAAATACGTTTTTATTAAGAACAAAATGTTTTCTCCTAAAGTAAAGTGACCGGTTGTTCCAAAATAAAAAAGAAGAAAATACAGGATAAAACTTATATGGATATAAAAAGTTGTAAAGGGGGATTTTATTTGTTGTAATCAAAGCTGGAGAAGAATTAATGGGTTTATTTATAATTTTTTAAAAGGGAACTTTAATATCAAATATTATACTGATGCAAAAATGGAATTTGTTTTTTCTCTCAGCTAAATGACAAAATTTTCTTGGATTGTTGATCTTAAAAAGAAATTATAGTTTAAAAAGTTTTTCTCTGACTTCTAAGTAATTTGCCTAAAAGGCAAAAATACTGTGTCATATCACAGGGAATTCCTGGTGTTTTGTGTTGATTTTATCATGTCCTCGATTAAGAAACTAAAATCTCACTTTTAGAAGTTCTAAAGTTCTCTACAAACTGCTACATTTTTCATATTTTGCTCTGGGAAATAACCAGGACTGTGGACAATCTTACCCAAACTACTGACATGATCACCGTAGAATTACATCAACTCCAACAAGTGGTCCTCTAAAACTGTCTGGTATTGGACTTGATTCTGGCTTCCCAGAAGGGCACTTACACAAGGGTCAGTGCTCAGAAGTGGCTGCTATGCATATGTTCTCCTAAATATCTCTGATGTCTGTGCCATCACCAAAAAGATTTGAAACACAAACCTGAAAATTCATCGGATTGTCACTGTGATTCTTACTCTGCCATCTAAGGCCACTTTCAGTCCAATGTCCTGGAGTCCTCTTGACTGACATCCTTCCAACCTCAGATTTTGGTTTTACTCCCTTATTTAACTTTTAATAATCATTCTTTTAAATTATATTCTCAGGCATACTCTCACCAGTGCCTCATCTCTAAGACTCTCCAGCAGCTGTCAGTTGACAACACGCTCAACATGTAACATAGCTATTCCCTCAGAGCCAACAAGAACGTGATGGCCAGCTCACCCTTGAAAACTAGTTTGACCAACCTTAACCTCATAATGACTGCCCATAACAGTGTTTAAGGACAGAATTTGCTTGTCTTAAACAACGATAGGGACTGACCAAGTGCTCACGATTATCCATAACATACTCACTGACTTGGCTTGACCAAACTTTAGTCAGCCTTCTCTCCTCCTCACAGGCCATGGACTTTAGCTCACTCCCAAGCTTAAGAAAGCACTAAGATGCTGACATCACCCCTCGCTAACAGCTCATTCTGAGAATCGGCTAACCACTCAGAGAATTATTTCCTGTTAAACCTTCATGCTATCTGCTTATCCCCCTACCCCCCCCGTCCCCACAAAGTACCTGCTATCCCTGATTATCTTTTCCTATGAGAAACACCTTCATCTGCTCATTTTTTGAGACACATGCAGAACTTGTGGTTGGAGCATTCTCCCTATTGCAATAGTCTTTTCAAATAAAGTTTC